GTTTTTCGAGACAGCTCTCCTGTGAGGCCTTCTTTCTACCTGTTCTATTTAACCCGATGGGAACAGGGCAAATTGAATGGCCACATGTCGGCTGAGAAGAAAACAGGACCAAAATTGAATTAAAAGTGAAAGTGGGTGATAAGAAAAGAAAAGAAAAGGAAAGGTTGAACTAGCCTGGGTTGATCTGAGTGACAGAAACGACAGTAGGGCTGGAGTAAATGATGATAAGCTGTCTCCACTATTACCTAATCCTGCCTAATCCAGCCTATACGTAACTTACATGTGCAGCATACTAAACAGTAATTTTCCCAATGGATGGACTGTCGGAGCTCAAATGACCTGTCAAACAAGCGATGGCACGGTGGTTCAGCCAATAAAAGAGCTAAGGGACTCGAACGACGACTGAAGACCTGAAAAACTGTCTAACCGACTAGCCTTCCACCGTGCCTCTAAGCGGCCTGTGTGTTGATACACGTGTGTGTGTAGGCCCATTCCGGGGCTTGCCCATGCGTAATTGGACTCGAGGCTAGGATGTGCGCACCTCCTACTCACGAGGCCGTATCTGGTATTCCGTACATCTGGACCGCGGCAGGCAGAGAAAAGCGCAGCAGCCAACCTGAAGACTGAGCATGCGAATGAAGCCGTGAAAAAAAACCTCCAAAACGAGGAGATAAAGGAAAGATCAACTGCGACAATGCCCTCATCATGCCGGCTCAGGCTGCTCTGACTAACGAAGACCGAGTCAGTTGAACGGCTGGATCGATGCGGCAACCGAACCAAAAAGGATCGATATTCGGCTATTACTGCCTCAATCCCTTCACATGGGCTGGGCTAGTAAAAACGCTGAGCTCTGTTTAAGATAGTTGGCTCGGGCAAGTTACCAAAAGGGCCCAAATGTGACTAAGTGCATAGTTGATCTAACCTGGTCTGCGCTAGATTAAATGGTAGTATGTAAGTGCACAAGTGCAGATACTCACGCGTCTCTTTCAGCTTATTAGTTGATGAGTTCGGCCGGCAAAACCAAGGGTGAAACTTGAGGTGAAGTGCGCATTTGCATCGATCTCCACCACATCTTCAGAAGTACACTTGACACATTCTGTCCGGTCACTAGGGTCGCATGCGTGTATGCATGTGTCAAACTTAAGCAGAGGGAAACAACGAAGCCTAACCGGATGAGCAGAATAATGGGCCAAACGCTTCGATGAGCCACATTCCGGCGTCAAATAAGGTGCCCTTGATAGGAAGATGGCCTTAACCAAGGCACCATTTTCGTACGAGTGATGGATAGGATAGCAAAAATAAGTCATACTTCCAAAGGTTCGCTGTCAAGACCATATCAAGAGGACTATGTTTATATATATATATATATATATAGGTAGGTACGTGTATGTATGTATGTAGGTATGTAGGTATGTAGGTATAAAATCTCATTCTTTTATGCAGGCAAAGTGGTTACATTTTGGCTTCATTTAGTTAAAATTAAATAAATCGGTAAAATTCGTTGAGCATCCTATAAATTTAGGTGAATCATATATATATATATATATCAACTAATTTTACCGATTTATTTAATTTTAACTAAATGAAGCCAAAATGTAACCACTTTGCATGCATAAAAGAATGAGATTTTATGCCTACATACCTACATACATACATACATGCATGCATACATACATATACATATTTCTGTGTCCAATAACAGTGAAGTTTAAGGAACCATTCAGACTCACCCTGAAGAAGCATCAAGAAATTATGGAGGGAATAATATTGATAATAGCGATGGTGATGAAAGTGAAATTATATAAATCACTCCTCTTTAATTAGCTGTAATTAATCGAAAAGGTATCGCCTGTCTGTGCACCTTTAAAGGGTCGTAAACGGGATAGGGAACCTAGTGCCTAATGTAAACAATGAATCCATTTTCCCATTACTTATGCGCATCTTTATGACATCCTTCAATCTTGTTTCAGGCCTCTGTTACATCATTCATTAAAGACTTATATGCCTTAATTTCACTAAAATGAAATTACGTCCTTTCCAGATAATCTAATCTAATCATGACGACCACCGCTCCACCTTTAGCGGCCTCCTTAATAATCAGAATATTGCGACATATACAGATGGAAAGCTTACATAGAACACAAGATTTCTTTAGCGTAACTATCCGGTCAAAATAAGGAAGCACCTTCGGCTCAATATTAGTCTAACATTCTCAGACAAATTATCGGATAAGCTAATTAGTTCAGCCAGAATTTCCAACGAATTGTCAACTTCATTTGAAAGAGCGAAATTCGATCCGCTTTTTTTGGAAGTCCACACTCCCCTCCAGAGTTAGACAGGATAAAGTAATTACCTTATCCTAGTCTAATCGGCTAAAATCACTTTTATTTCTTCTTAGATACAAAATCCCTCGATATAATGTTCAAGTTTTTTAGCCTCTTAGTGTGAATCCGTCTTGTCATTCCATCTATGGCCAGTCCCAAGACATCAA